TCATTCGTGGCGACGACAAATCGTAACGACTACTATGCTAGATTCGTTCATTGCTGTATCGGGGCAGGCTGGGGCAGGTGATGCGAAGAGACGACTGTTCTTATCGGCACGATGTGATGTACTAGTGGGAGTTTTTTTTTCTGAACTCGACAGTGTGAAACTGAAGTCCGTTTGAGGCTGCAGCGGATGTTCAACGACGGTACAGTGCAGTTCTGTCACCTTGCTGATAGCAACGAGTACCGTCGATGCAAGGTCTCGTGACCTGACCTCTCGACGACTTCTATTCGACGATTTCCGGGCATTTTCGCAGCTGCCGTGGCGAGTTCGTCACTGTTTTGAACTTCATCGGTCTCAGGTTTGACTTGATTTTAGTAGTCATCTTACCTGCCTACTTATATCCATGATGTTTTGTCTTCAGCGATGTAGCGAGTAGAGTGTCGTTCTCGCGTTCGGTGAGATTTGGGGCCCCCGATGGCTCCTTCGCTTCAAAATGTGAGCACGAAAACTACTACCACTGTCAAAATAACCTGTTATCAACCGATATTAAACACACAATCACAGATGTAAAGAGCATTCGTGTTTATTTGAAGCTTTGACTTCTGTTATTGAAAGTTAAACGAAAAAATGATTGAATTTGGAGACCTTTAATTTGTTACTCACTGAAGAAATACAGCGAAAAGCAGACGCCGACGACGACTACTACGACAGTTTTTTTTTTTTTTTTTTGTTTACATCACGTGATTCCTCTCCACCAATCGTATTCGTCCCTCTGAGCGTTCCCTAGTTCGCTCTGTTTGTCCCTAGATTCCCTACGCAAATCCAGCGTTTAGCTAGGGGCGCGTCTGTAAAGCCGGCTTAACGTTGGTGCAACCGGAATTTAAACCCGTGCTTACCTGAGCTCGGTTTAGGGCGTTAAGCCGGCTTAGGAAAGTGCCGCTTTGGGTTAAGATAAGCGGCGTTGGTGCAACCGGCCCTTATAGTTCTTTATGTTACGTTAAGCCGTACAAGCAAGGGAAACAAACCGAAGATTGCGCTCTGTGCTTTCGTTACCTTCTTCACTTTGTCCCTGTCCTTCGGCGCTTATATCCAGATATTTATTGAGGATTGCAGAGATGGAAACATTGTCACTGCGAGTGACAAATTTATCGTTTCTTTTGGCACGAACGCTCAACCGTTCATTCTCCTAATTCCCAAAGAATACAGTGATGATATTGCTGCACCTTTTGCGCCAACTTGTTTACTCTGCTACATGCTGCTAGACTTTGGATAATATAAAAATCTGAATATGCGCCATGCGACTAAAGTTAATTCCACTTTATCAATATGAAAACTGAGAGCTCAGGCGTCGCTATGTGGCTAGATAGTTACGGTATTTATGCAGATTTTTAAAACGTTCGATTATAGCTTAAATAACGCATTATCAAAGCCAATTCTGGTAGAATAATATGAAGGCCTCTACGTACCTTCAAATAAAAACTAAAATAATTAGGCAGAGGGACGAAATATCAAAACTACATATAAAGTCCACGTAATGTCAGCATATACAGAAGAAAAAAAAAAAAAAAAGAGCTCCAGTGGTAGCGGCCACAGCCCAAAGTCCTCTGCATTGGCAAGGAACGGTACGTCAGTTATGGCGGCAGGGTCACGTGATTGCAAGATGGCCGCGTTCATGCAAATGTGCTAGAAAACATCTATAGAGGCTTCGTATTTGGTATCAGGAGCAGCTAATCAGTATTTAGGTAGCAAGACATGCCTAGATGGTTCGAAAAGTTTTGTTTTACTTTTTTTGTGTTAATTTTGATTTTTACAGACGCAACACACGACTGGCAGTGGCATTCTTAGAACACGTCTCCACCAACGCTTCAATTGCAGCATCAATTTTGTTCGGGATTTGAAGCCGTTAAACCGTTCTTGTGAAATGCTGGCCATTGAGCCATTATAAGATGAACTGCCAAGGGGCAAGGTCATCTCGGTAATCGACTCGCGCTTTTAGAAAGTGGTAACGAACAACATCAAGCCGCCCAGAAGGTCAATTTTGAAGCCACCCTCATTTCCTTTAACGCTTCTACCGTAGTGCAGAGCGAAGTCGGCGAAGGTAGCGGTCCGTCGACCCGAAGCGCGCTCTCAAGATGAACGACGCAATCAGGTGTAGGTGCCGCGCGCTCGGCTCGCGCTTTTAACCATACACGGGCTCCCCGGCACAGCGCCGCGGATGTGTGCAACGGCGCGCCGCCTTGGTCTAATGTGGTCCCAGATGGGCTTCTGTCGACGCGGAAGGACCACAAGCGCACTAAGAAGAGCCTCCTCCCCGCCTCCCCCCTCTTTGAGAAAGAAATAACGTTCGCCTGCGAGCGTTCTCAGGGTAATGGGGAGTAGCTGCCGCCCCCTTTCCAACCATTCCGTTTCTACTTCGTTTCATCGCGCGATGGACTGGAGCGGACGCTATTAACCAACCGACCCAGCCCAGCCCAGAGGGCGTATCAAGCGTTTAGGCGCCCCGCTCGTCCCTGCGCTTCTGCCGAAGGTCAAGTGACACTTAGATGGCATGGGATTGGTTAAGATGTCTCGTAGAGTCCTCTGCGGTGTATCGGGAGATGAAGCAGAAGAAGAGAGCGTTCGTCGCGTCCCACGTCGAAAGAGAAATACAAATCGGCTTTCGCCCGTTCAGGCTCAGGAAACGAAGGAAGCTGGCAGGTTGCAAATAAATTTGGGTTCTTGCTTTTTTTCTTTTAATGCGTTAGCATTAATTGTACTGGTACATGCAGCCGTTTTTTTTTGTTTTTTTTTAGTTTGGACAGTCGTGGTTTGGATTGACCTAGATATTATTAGTTTCGTGTGGCCGATAGGCGGTACCCGCCGTGCTCTTTCGGTGCGTTCGCTCGCTCGCTACGTCCACTTTTTGTCTTACAAAAGGGAAAGAGTCTTCTGGCAAGCTTCCAAAGACGCGCCGCGGGAGCGGGAAATAAGGCATCACGCGGCCGTGGCGGTGGCACAACGTCCGCGACAACGTATACAGCCGAGGCACAGCGACGACGGCGTTTGAGCGAAACCGCCGACACCCGGGAGGAAAGATCGTCTCTTCGAAGACAGCAGTATGTAGACCGTAGGCGGCGATCGAGGGAAGCTGCGGTGGCTGCATCCAGAACCGCCGACGCCCGGGAGAACAGTCTGGCTCTCCTGTCACAGCGGTGCGCGTACCGTTGAAGGATTCCCCTCCTTCGCTGTGTTGGAGCCCCTGAGCTAAATGCAACTTATGTCGTCGAAAATAAGCGTAGCGACGCTATACCGATTTCGGAGTAATTGTTTTTAATAGCTTCGATGAGCTCACGACTCTGGGGGGTCAATGCAATGGTGGCGGGAAATTACCCAGTTTTGAATGGGGATGTCGTTGAGGATGATGGTACTCGCGAATTGGTTTCACGATGCATAGTTTTATTTTTGAGGTAAGAAAAAGGTTTTTGTTACCATAACCCAGTATAATGTCTGCCTCTGTGTGCGTAACGAGAACCAATCCTAAGGTGTGAAATAATGTACGAAGTGAGCTATTTGCTGGCCACCATCGCTGTGCGAGTTGCTATCGACTTAAATGAAACCATTTTCGACGGATATCCGTCTGGTTAGGAATGATATATAAAACTTCAACTTGAAACTCTAAACAAGCTTTATTAAAAGCAAAAATCCCGACGTTTCAGAACCAACTCGGTCCCTTGATCACGGGGGACTAAAAGAGATCCCAACGAACAGCGTCGACTCGTTTGTGTCCTACTAAGTGGTTTGAGGATATTTTGCACCATCACGAAGAAAAACTTTCATATACTTTGACAAACGTGCGTGGACAGAAGTATGCTCTGGCAGACTGGGTTTATCATGCACGCTCGATACTATAGTCGCAGACAGTTTAACCAATGCGGGGGCGTGGGCCATCATGACCAGCTGCTTCCTGCTTCGTGATTCCTTGTTCGGTGTTTTGATTAGCGGCTGCTACATTCCCTATGGCTCCAGAGCAATAATGAGATGCTAAGGGATTCCCACGCCTTGTGTTTTTTTTAAGGCTGGTTTGCACTGTTGCAACCCTCTACGACAGAGTCCGATAGAACCGTTTTGTTTAAGCCTCTTACGATCGTACCCCGCAGCAGCAATGGCGGTCGAAGGCGGTTTAAAAAACCCCGTTGCCATAGCAACCCTTAGAGGGACTAACGTCGCAGGCCGTTGCAGTCCCAATCGGACTGCAACGCGCAAGTCTGCGAGCCAGGCTTTCTTTATTCTTTATGCAATGATTACCCCGCAGTGCCCGAGGGCGTTACAGCAGGGGGGTTACAAGGATGAAAAGAACACGTCTTCATTGAAACAGCACACTTGCTCTTCAGACAGCCGATTCCACTGTGCAATTGTCCGTACAGAAAAGGAGTTTGCAAACATACATGTCCTAGCGCGGTACTCTCTAATTTTATGACTATGATCATCACGACTAGAAACATAATAGGGTTCTTTTAAGTAAGTCTCGCTATTTATTCCTGTTTTATTTTTAACTATTGAGTATAAAAATTTTAGTCGCAGTTTTTCCCGACGTACGGAAAGTGGTTCCCAGTCTAACATTTTTTTCATTTCTGTACAGCTTTCTTTCACCCCGTATCGTCCAAGAACAAACCTAGCCGCCCTGTTTTGTATTTTCTCCAGCTTATCAATCAGCGTTTCTTAGGCTGGGTCCCAGACAGCACATGCATACTCTAAAATGGGTCTAACACATGTTAAATAAGCAGTTGTCTTTAAGTAAGGTTGTGAGGATTTTAAGTTACGGTGGATAAAATTCATTGCCCTGCCAGCTTCTAAGACTACTTCTCCTATGTGGGCATTCCATGAACAGTCAGATGACAATATGACACCTAAGTTGTCGATAGCAACATCTTGGTTGTATGGTCTAGCGATCCCGCTCTCCTGCTCGCAAAGAAAGAGAGAAAAAGAAAGAGGGAAGGCTATGATCATCGAGGGAATTCAGTTACCTGTCTGCGACGGGGTCCGGCGTCTGTGGCACCTGGAGTTCGTATGCCGGGTGCACAAGGTTCTCGTTGAGCAGGTACCAGTTGGCCAGCGGACTCACGTCCAGACCGGCCTCCTGGGCGGCGTTGTGCACCTGCTCGAACGTGCTGCTCTCGATCAGGTCCGGCAGCGCCAGGGGACCGTACTTGTTCCCGATCAGGCACTGCAAGCGTGGGAGGTCGAATCAGCCGGGGTGGGAGGAGCGTAGCCGTCGGCAACATGCTTATGGCATCTGGCGTTTCATTGTCGGTATCGACCCACAGAGAGAGAGCGGACGTGAGGTGCGGAAGATTTGGATTTCGGCTTTGGATTCAAGGTTACGCGTAACTCTTGATATCTACACCTATCAACTGTTTGAGGTATTCTTACAATCTACTGTTTAAGATGACTTTTTAATTTCCACGTGAATCTGCAACATGTCTCTATGTTTCGTATTTTTTAGTTACAGGACTCATATTTTACGAAACTTTTTTTTCTGCTGCATTCATGTCAGGCTTTTCTTATTTTCCTGCGTACCAACGCGACTAAATCAAGAAGGTTGTATTTACTCATACAGTATTCACGGAGTACGACCTTCATTTTGCCACTGAGTTGTATTCAAATATCCATAACATATAGTTGTAGCAAGAAAGCACAGTAAAATTTCATTTGTAAATCCAAAAACCTTTTAGCTCGTTTTCATTGACACATAAAAAAACGTTATGCAGGCAGTAAAGTGTTCGTTTAAAAAAGGCCAAGCAATTAATAAATTATTTTGTTAGTAAAAACTAGTATTCAAGCCAGGTTAAAAAAAACTTTTTGAAAAGACAAGAATAAACTTTGCGATCTACCTGTCTTGTGAACATTTGCGCCTTGACTTAAAAAAAAGGTAAGTTTATTGTTCCAAAGACTAGTTCAATCGCAATTCTACTTTTATTCCATTAAGTTCGCAGTGCGGATTTTTATCATATGCTAGCTGCGAGACAATGTGCAAGTCCCGACGGAGCTTCATTCAACACCAATAATGGGAGTGTATTGTTCTGTAAGCAAAGCTGCAATAAATTTTTGCATTAAATTGCTCGACTTGCTCTGGAACTCAGCGATGAATAACGGAAAAAAAAGTAATTTCCTCGGAATGTAAGGATACGGACTCGCACAAAGGCGAAGGAAATTACTCCAGCTCTTAGTTGGGAAACGTCTTTAAAAAACAAATCCCGAGTGCATTAGTGTTCGCACGAGTTTTGAAGGGCAAACGCCTTCGGGCAAAGTCGAGATCTCATTTCCTGCACGATAATCCTCCATTTTGTTTATTGGGAAGGAGGCTTTGCAACGAGGACCCACAATTAAGCCGGACTGTGATAGCTGCCCGGAACGATTCGCCTGGTCCTGCCTCGGGAAACAAGATTAAGGCGGCAGTCTTGTCTTGTTCGTCCAACTCTTTAGAAGTTATCTCTACTTTACAGTTTGCAGCTATTAAAGCTATGGACTGGTTTGCAGCTAATTTAATTTTAATTAATGCTTCTAAAACTCAGCTCATTTGTTTCCACAACCCTCTAAAGAAAGTTTCTCTAACTTATCCTTTATTGTTGCACACGACAGATTGCTTGCATCGTGATTGTATACCTGTAAAATATTCATCTTCTGTGAAATACCTTGGCGTGTTTTTTGACAGCGACCTAGCGTGGAATTCTCATCTTTTGCATATTTGTAAGAAACTTCGTGCAGTATGTTGTATATTGTATAATATTCGATATTTTATGCCCCTTTCGGGACGGAAAGTTGTTGTTCATGCCCTTGTATATAGTGTGCTTCGTTATGGTGTGACTGTTTACGGTCATTGTGCTCTTCGCTGGCAAGATAGAATTAACTGCCTTTTACGTTCTCTGTTAAAAAATATTTCATATGACCTGTGTCTAGAGAATGATGTCGATGTATTTAAAATATTGTGTTTTCCTAACTTCAGCTCGCTTCTGATAGAAACTATTGTTCATAGGCACTATTGGGCTAGCCAATTTAAAACCCCGTACATTCCGTCGCGTTATCTTAGACCCAAATACCCTTATTGTATACCTCGATGCTCAACAAAATTTGGAAAACGAATTCGTAAGTATTACGTGCCAGCAATTTTCAACAAACTTCCTTCTGAAATTCATAATATAAAAACAAAATACAAGCTTAAAAAAGCCTTAAGAAGTATTAGTTTTTAATATTGTTTAACGGATGTTATGTTTTGTTTGTGTTTCATTTTTTGCTGATTATATCTGTGCAGTTTCGTTTCACTGACTGCCAGGCGCTGCCAGACAAGCCCGATGTGGCTTTGGCAGGTCTGATTCTGTACCTTGTTTCTTGTCATGTAATAAAATTATTATTATTATTATTATTATTATGATTACTATTATTTATCAGTAGATAACGTAAGGTGACCAGACGTCAAATTTATATGTAGCCGGAGCATTTTTTTTTTGTTTTGTTTAGCAAGATTCCGTTTGTATAATGTGGTGGAACGTTTCGCAAGAAAATGAAAACAGCCAGCACTGACATGCTGCTTCGGGGCAGTTAAGACATAGCTTCTTTGTTTTAAGGAGGTTCACAAGTTAAATGTCTATAAAAGGAATCTTCCGGACGATAGACCTAAAAAATTAACGGAAAAAAATTTAAAAGGTGACTACTAATCATGAAGCTCAACGCAGAATACGTAAGCATTTCGTGAACGAGTTTACGTTGAGTGTATGCAAATGAAAGCAAACTCAAGGTAGAACGCGCAAATAATTGATGATTGCCTTTTTCTTTCCAGGGGTTTTAGGGTCTGCAGTAAATTTGGGTCTCGGAATGGACGTCAAAGAACAGAAAGCACAATTATGGCGGCGGTCACGTGGACCCCCAGAAACTGTCACGCGGTGCAGGCTCCATCGTCTGCTTTAATTCTGGCACATAAAGCTCACTATCTTTTCATTGGCCCTCGTGATTGCCGCAATAGTATGTGGCGCCCCTTTGCTTGTGACGTCATCCCGGGTTCACGGTTCTCAGCAGCACAAACCGAAACCAAAACGGTTTCAGTTTGTGCGGTTTCGATTTCGGTATTGGTTTATACTATTCCCCGTCAAGACGTGATATAGTATAATTGCTAGGCGTAGCTTATTAAATTTCGATGGAAGAGGCCTGATAGAGACACTTATGGAATTTGTGTTTGTAGACAGTGTATTAGGCATCTGGGATGGTGTCATATTGTTTACAGTAGTGAATTTGATTTACACTGTTTGATAGTGAATGTAGACGATAACCTGAACGGGGAAAGCTCCGGTATATTTTAATTGCTCATTATTAAGTTAAGGACATAGAATGTTAGAAGCGTTGCGCTCATATTAAATGAATAATGCTAAGATATAAAACAAAAATAAAGTGTGCATTTCTTTTTAGAGCGAGAGTGTTGCGAGAACAAACCGAAAATCTGCATGCATTCGAATACCTGGTCGAATACAGGTATTCGAGTAGGTATGCTAGAATACATATGCATGCATAATAATGTATCCAAACACTCATTCATTTTATTTTCGCCTCGTTCATTTATATGTCACATAAAGCTTTCTTTTTCTCCCCAGTTAGTACAGTTATACGCCACCTAAGTTATTCATTCCGTCACGGCCAGCGTATTGCTGACATCATCAACACCACAAAGACTTTCTAATGAACGATAATCATTAAAAAAAAAAAACGCAACCGCATTATACGTCGCCTTCACCGCGAACCGCCCCCACGAGGATTACGTGGGCGCATCTCTTAAGCCCCGGAAAAGAACTCGCCTTCAACTCGCGAACGAATCCAATATGGATAGGAAGGAATTGCGCATAGCGGGACGCGTCAGCGCCGGGAGTACCGCGTCCGAACGTGCTCGGTGCATTATAAACGAAGGAATGGAGAGCGCGAGTAAGCTCGAGCGTGGAAGGGTCCTTTCCAATCTAAGCAGCGGGTTACTCGCAGCCCGTGAAAACGGCGCGATGCAACCGCTGGGAAATCTTCCGAAATGGGAGGCGATGAAGCGAGGCTGCGAGCCCCTGTGGATTCCGCGAGATCTCTGCCGTCCTTTGTCTGACTTTTACCGGTGTAGAGAAGCCGTATTTACGGGGGGCATTATTCGGGAATGCAAACATTTTAACCATTATTGTAATTTCTATGAGAGTGGCAGGGCGTATTTATACCTTGAAGAGAGGATGCCATCCAAAAGTTTTAATTTTACAGCTTTAACTTTCGAAGCGTTATGGAAAAATACATCAAATAAACTCTGCGCCTCCTGAGGAAAACGATCGTTTAGAAAATGTAATTATAATGGCCAGTTGATGAAACATGCAGGATAACATCCGCGTCACGCGGCGATGGGAACAAGTAAAAAAACAAATTATATCACTTTTAGTAAACAAAGATAATTTTAAAAAGAAAAAGAAATATTTATTTTTCTTACGAGTAATAGGTTACAGATACTGCAGTTTTGCGTAACTGAAGACCATGCAAATGAAGAAAGTAAACTGACAGCCGCGTTCCTTACCAAAGGTCAGTACAGAAACTTCAAGGACTGGGTCCATGCATCAATTCATTATCATATAACAGTTTTTCTAAATCGAGATTTGAAGCCAAACTGTGAAACGGAGGGAAGTGCATTTAAAAGTTCAGAAAGCTGCACTTTATACGGCGCTTACATGTAGAAAATAATTTAGACCTGGAACAATTATTTCGTTACACGAGTGAACCTTTCTGACATCCTTCATCAGGATGTTTGAGAGCTGATGAGGCTACTTGCTAAAAATCAGATTTAAATATAATTTTAAGGTAGTGGTGACCGGCGATATTTTCATGGTCCCTGATTTGCCTGAAAATTTACTAAACACCGCACCAAAGATCGCTGAAATAGTATCCAGAATATTACGTAAAAATAGTTTGTCTCGCGAAGCTAATGAATTTAAACGTTTGGTCCTCATCGGATTTTTCGAAACTGCAAGTCTTTACTGGTAACAACGAAAACGTGACGCCAGTGAAAGGCAGGAGTTTACTGCAGAATGTGTTCCCAACTGATTCCAAGCATTTTCATGGTGTCAAACGAATGCCTTAGAAGCTCGCTCCAGTACCCGTGCACCAGCACGGAACAAAGTCTGGCATAGTCTATTTTTTTACTGGTTGCTCAACTGGCAAGCC